TGCTACACACTCGGGAATCAACTTTTCTTGCAAAGACAAAGCACTCAACAAGTCATCTATTCTTACACAAAATTCAAAGAATATTGTCTTATTTTCCATATTTAGTCATCCCAAAGCACTTAATCACGAATACGCAACATTTAGCTTAATTATCATGCAAATAAGACAACTTATATGCAATTTATGCATCTAATTCATCATAAAAATACCAAATTAACTCTCATTTAGGAGAGTTAACACACTCCAAAATCAAAACGTTGCTCGTCCTCGAGTAACAAAGAAGAAAATTATTAATTGACCTGCATTAATTTTTGCTTGGTTTAGACATAGACTTGTGAGAGTTGCAAACGTGTGAGATTCATCACATTAAAGGCTTAATCTAAAAAGGTTTCTAAGAAATTAGGATTCTAATTAGGTTAAAGGGTAAATAACAAAGACATTAGGAATTTAACCAATTATTATTTAAATGATGAATCGTTTGATAACAAGAGAGTTGCAATTTTATTGAATTAATTTAATTCACTTAAAAGGAATCAGAGGTGAAGTAGACTCTAACTACATTTTTATTCTTTACTTTAAACCCGTCTTTTTACGTACTTTCTTTATTCGATTTTAATCAATTACTATTTACACATTTAAGACACCTTTGAATTGTCTAATTTAGATAAAAATGGTGAATTATTGCTTGAATTTAGTTGTCGTGGGAAAGATACTCTACTCATTATTTTATTACTTGGAAAGATTGGTATACTTGCCATGTTCGCAATAGGTCACCGAGTCAGGCGTCCTCTGAAATATTTGGAAGCTTATGAGTGCAACCATCTTGACACATATATATCTCCCCTACCTCTTCAATCCAACAACACCTTAGGTAGTCTTTATCCACTCTCAAATTTTGTTTCATGTTCTAAATTCTCACCCAAGCATAGAGGATTTTTAGCTGCAATTAGTGCAGGTTTTGAGCCCCGTAACTTTAAGGATGTAATAGGAGATCCTCGTCGGCGAGATGCTATAGAGAAGGATATTTCCGCGTTAGAAGATAATCATATGTGAAACCTCGTGGAACTACCTCATGGAAAGAAAGACATTCTTTGCTAGTGGGTATATCGTATAAAATATCATTCTGATGGTTCTATTGAACGTTTTAAAGCAAGATTGGTGATTAATGGTAATTGACAAATTGAAGGCGAAGACTTCTCTGAAACTTTTGCACCAATGCCAAAATTGTGAGTGTTCGTACATTTTTGGTTGTTGTCGTTGCGAAGAAGTGGGACCTCCACCAATTAGATGTCAGTAATGTTTTCTTACATGGTGAATTACATGAGGAGGTTTATATGCGACCTCCACCAGGTTTCTCCACTACATCTCCCACAACCGTGTGTAGACTATGAAAATCCTTATATGGGCTTCGCCCGTCTCCACGAAACTTGTTTGCCAAGCTTCAAGCCTCTCTTTTGCAATAGGGCTTCGTTTAGTCCAAGGCAGACTACACACTCTTTACCTTCCAAAAGGGCTCATCATTCTTGTCCCTGTTAGTCTATGTTGATGACATCATTCTTATAGGTAATGATTCATCTCTGTGCGCTTTGGTCAAAGCATATCTGAGCACTTTTTTTCAAATTAAAGACTTAAGAGCCCTTAAATAATTTCTTGGCATTGAGATAACAAGAAATCCCACTGGTTTGTTCTTGTGTCAACGCAAGTATATACTAGATATTCTACATGAAGTACGTATGTTGGATTGCAAATCGGCTGATTTTTCGATTGAATGAAAACATTGCTTAGCCTTGCAGATGGAATTGATTTTCATGACCTTGCATGTTATCGTTGTTTAATTGGTCGCCTTGTGTACTTTACCATTACACGCCCTGAACTATGTTATGCGATTTATACTTTGTCTCAGTATGTGCAAGCTCTTGAGCAACAACATTTTGATGGAGTTATGTGTGTTCTATGTTATTTGAAATCTAGCCCAGGACAAAGTCACATGCTATCCGTGGAAAATAATCTGCAATTGTATGGCTATTGTAATTTAGATTGGGCCAGTTGTCTTATTACGCGATTTTCTCTCCCTGGGTATTTTATCACATTAGACCTCCTATCTCATGGAAAACTAAAAAGCATGCTACTATCTATCGCTCTTCTGCAGAAGCAGAATATTACTCAATGACCACCATTACTTCTGAACTTCTTTGGATTAAGTCATTCCTTGCCTTTCTTGGCATCTCTCATTCTCAACCTATGCAATTATTTTGTGATAATCAAGCAGCTCTACATATTGATGCCATCCATATCTTTTATGAGCGCACTAAACATATAGAGTTGGATTGTCACTTCATTCGTGAACATCTTATGGCCAAGACTATTTTTTACGGCTTACATTCGATCTACGATGCAGCCAGCCGATATTCTCACAAAGGAATTTGGGCATAAGGAGTTTCATTTTCTACTTGGCAAGTTGGGCATCTCCTCCCTCCATGCTCCAACTTAAGGGAGAATATTAGAGGACAAAATAAAGATAAGAATATTTGAATTAGTTTCAGATATTCGTATCCGAATCAATTTCAAATATTTTGAATCAGTTTCAAATATTTTGAATCAATTTCAAATATTTGCATTTAATTTCAAATATTTGCATTTATTATGTTTCTATCTATTAGTACAGCTCATGCCTTGTATATGCGTCTATAATAATGATGCAAAGTTTTGATTCAATGGCATCCAATATTCGAAATTAACAAATTAACAAGTTTCTCTTGGAAGAATTTCTCTTCATCCTATCTTCACCATTGATCAAACCAGTGTTATGAAACTCGGACCGACCCGGCCGGGTCGACCCGGGAACCGATAAATCGGTCATATAATCGGTCCGGTTGAAGCAACGGACCAGTTATGCATCAGAACCGGTGCGATCCGGTCCGACCCGGCCGGTTTTCATGAAAACCGGTGACCCGACCCGGTCCCAAAAAAAAAAATCTAATTTTTTTAAAAAAAAAAAAATCATAATGTACATATTTGAATATCTTTTTGCTTATTGACTTACATAAGTTATGTACCTACAACACTAATTTTATCTTAATTATGCACTATGCCGAATATTTTGATTTGATTTATAGTTAGAGATGTCGTTTTTTTAACCTAAAGTCCTGTATTACAATCATTATATTTTTGTTTGATCTTTTATTAGATAATAATATGTCATTTATTATTTTTTATATTAAAATATTTGAAATTTTTATGATTTTTTTTAGATATTTGAGTATGTTTATAATTTTTTAATATAAATTATAAAATTGCATATAATTACCGGATCATGCGGTTGAACCATTGACCCACTGGTTGAACCAGTGACCCAGTGACCTAGTACCTCAACCGGGTCAATAACCGGGCCGGTTTTAATAACATTGAAAGTACTAACATCTTAACTAAAGTATATCCTTCAGTTCGTTTTCGTGTTCTTCTTACCAAACTCAAGTTGTTTTGGACACAACCACCTTTAGTTTGAAAGGGAATATTCAAGATATGTAATTTCGTATTTGAAGAATTAGTCCTGAAATATCATTAACAAAATTGCTTAATTATAACAATTACATACGCAGTTTCACATATAAATATGAAATTATAATATCAAAATAATTATGAAAGTGTTCATTTTTTCTAATTTAAAAAATTTTGTCTAATTTTCACCAAAATAATATCATTTTAGAGCAAAATTATGGTGTATTTGTAATTTTAATTTATTTCAAAATTATAATAATATTTATCATTCTAATTTTTAATCTTTCAATCCAAAACAATATCTTTCCGTTCAACATTAAATAAAATTTTCTACAATAATATTAGTATTCCCAGTTATGAAATTATATATAGATTCCTTTGTTCTGGTTATTCACGAATATTGTTATCAAATTTTTTCATCGTGTGCGAGGGTTCCTTTCGTGGCCGACAAGATTTAGTACCACCAAAGCAGGCACTAAATGCTAGAAACGCAACTTAATTATTATCTACCTGCACTTGTTGAAACTTGAAAATACCGTCATTTATCGAAACAGCTAGTCATTCGAAAGCAATAATTGAATAAACTTTAGTCAATCTTTCTATTATATGAAAGTTATAGATACATCAACAAAATTTGAAGCAGAAATTGTATTTACTAGCCTATAGCTTACAGCTTATATGTCAATATAAGTTTTGACACGCGGGTCGACTCGCGACTCGATACGAAAATTTGTGTTCGGTTTGATCCGCAAAAAATATTCGTGTCGTGTTCGTGTTGAAAAAAATGACACGTACAAAATTCTTGTTGTGTTCGTGTTGATGTATTAGTGTTCGTGTCGATGTATTAGTGTTCGTGTCGACCCGTATTTTTTTAAATTATTTTATTTTTAATTTTTTATTATTATTTTTTTAATATCAATCCATTTTTTTAAAATGTTTTTGTCAATTACCATTTTGACTCCTATTTTGCGTGTTATTTGTGTCATGTCGTGTCAACCCGCAAAAAATTTGTGTCGTGTCATTGTTGAAGATTTTGACACGAATAAAAATTCGTGTCGTGTTAGTGTTGATGTATTCGTGTTGTGTCGAATTCGTGTCGTGTCGACCCGTTTTGACACCCCTAAGTTTTTTTATCTACCAGCAAGTCAGCGAAGAGAAACGTAAGTAACTTCAGTGTTACAGAAACTTATGTACATATGATCATGTGTTACCACAGGATTAATCATCATAACAATCCTTATTCACATCCTAAACTTCACACAAATTCTTCAATAATAGTTTGTAAGAACTTCAAGAATAGTATCCTCTACATTATAAATGGAAATAATTTATCCTCACTGCACGCAATGACGCTTTACCAAAATGCAATACAAGGATTCAATACATCCACAAAAATTCTTAGCCAAGGCTTGATAACTTTGATATTGAGACCATCCTTAAGTTGAACACTTTCTACAACCCCAAAACCAAGCAAAAGTCATCAAGTGTATCTATTCCATCTTTCTTCAATTTTAATACGCACATTCAACTTTTGAAAGTTCCAATTTCTAATAGTTAGACAATGAGAATTCTAACATGAGTATACTTGTTAATTTGGTCGAGAAAAGACCCCAAATTTCATATTCAAGAAGGAAACTAACATTTATCTAGTACATCATGATGCTGCTATCAGCAGATTTCAGCAATCTCATCTTGCATGACAACTAACGAGGCTCTGATCTACAAGCAACAAAGCAGTAAAAAGACCCTACTAAAGGGTCTCGAACAAGTTTATAATTTGATTTATAAAATGGAAATAAGATCATTCCCTCTGATTTAGTAGAGGGTCTGGAACCAAACTACATGAAAAACATTGGTGACTATACTCGTTTTCCCTTTCAAGTGAAACAAGGCTTTCCATGTATCTAGCAGCTCTTATTGAATCATACTTTCCATAAACCTGAAGATCCCTTGTTTGTTCAGAGTCACATTCATACAACACTAGCCTTTCATTACTGTCTTTCCAAAGAAATCGATTGCTTCCATAAAACCCCACAAGCTTGTAAATAACTTCTGTGGGTCCAACTGTGTATTGCTTAATCCAAGACCCTTCGTCCCAATAATCTTTCATTACCCACACGTCAAAGCATTTATCTGTTCCTCTCACAGGGTAAACAATGAAACCAATGGTAGCAGATTCGTTAAAGGGTGCAAGAGTAGCAAAATCTTCTTCTGAGGAACAACGTATTCTTGGTACTTTAATCTTTCTGAAGACTTCATTGACCATGTCAAATGCTAGAACAACATCTTCAATTCTACCAAACTCATCAACATAGCCCCACCAGTGACAACAATTGTTCACATAAGTATAAACACGAGAAGAACCCCAAATCTCAATGGGAAGTGGGAGAGAAACATCAAGTTTCCTCCAAGAATTGGAATTAAGGCTATATAACTCAGCTGTCCAATAACCAAGTTTTCGTTCATCTGTTTCCTTTAACCAAAGATCCTTAATCACAACAACTTTATAGTCATTAGTTTTGGTGTCAAAGCCAAAGCCAGCATAATAAGTGAAAGAGTAAGTGCCAATGGGACAAGTGAAATGGGATTCAGGCAAAGCCCTGAACTGTCTCAGAGAAGGATTCATGATAACATTTGGATTGCCTTCAAGGAAATATACACCATTGCAAGGACCCAATATTTCAGTCCAGTATTTATGGTCAGAATTATATTCATAGGGAGGGTTTAAAACTTCAGAGGAAACAAGTCCTTTGGGTTGCTTGATATTCCAAGAAAGAACAGAAATGTAAGTTTTAAGGCCAGAAAGAAAGGGTCTGCGAATGACCAAGAGTTGCTCCTCTTGGCTTTGAAAGTGCATAAGATTGTTGTAGAAAAAGTAATAATTGGTAATAAAATGAGGATCAGTTATGAGATCAAACCAGGACTTGCAAACTAACTTGCATCTCAGCAACACCTTCGTTGGCAACCTCGAGAGGATGTTTGACACCAATTCTCGTGGCAAATGCTCCATGCTCCCCATCTCTCTTTGAACTCTACGGAATGGGAATTGTGAATAGCGAGTTTTGTTCCAGTTTATTGGAGTTTTACGAAATAAAATAAGGATGATACAGATTAAAAAAAGGATTGTCATGGTTGGATTTTGTCCTTGTCTCGTCGAAACGAATTTGCGGGTCAAATTTGGCGATGAGAATAATCTTGATGCAATAAAAGTATTATAAGAGACTGACATACTTGTCCCCCCCACAAAAAGAAGGGAGTTAGAGTTTTTAACTTACGTACAGAACAAGATAACATTTGAATGGCCAAAGATAACATACGTAATATTTGCAGTCAAATCTTCCGGCTTCGTACGTGTTTGTTTTTAGACAATAGATGGCAGTTGTCTTAGTCTTAAAAGTGATTAATTTCACTCCTCACCGTTAATCGGATGTTCGGTATAGGATATTTTTTAGAATTTTCAAGAAATTAAATTTTTTAAATTTTTAAATTTTTGAATATTATCATAAATTAAATGTTTTCATCATATTTATAAAAATTGAAATTCTCAAATAAAAAAAAAATTCTTCTTCACCAAATGCCCTTTAATATTATTTTGTTAAGGACATAATCACTATCACATGTCTTTTATACTATGCAGGGTGGAGCAAGAGGGGGCCGTAGGCAATTGCTCCTCTTTACTTTACAAATTCAATTACAATATTCCCCCTACAGTATTTGAAGAATTATGCTCGACTGTTGACACCACGCATCATATTATATGTTACTTATTTTTATTTTTAATTTCGTTAAAAGGTAATATTTGATTTAGTTTAAAATATATAAAAGATTTCTATCAAAAAGAAAATATATTTGAAAGATATAGAAATAAACTTATATATAATAACATTAATTATCAAATATATTTGATGTCTATCTAAATATGACTATATAATAATTAAATAAAGAGAATATGAATAATTGATGTAGTTTAGCTTTTCTTTATGTAACAAAGAGAATATGATTGATGAATATCCTATCCTTTTGTTGCTTTATTTGGAGACCAAGGAAGAAGTTGAGCTCTCCCATCATAGACATTTCAAGTTTACTTTGCATAAGATTAGCAAACTCTTCACAAAGATCAGCGTTAGTGGCACCAAAAATAATATCATAAACATAGATTTGTGCAAATAATATGTGATCATCTTTCTTCTTTATAAAGGGAGTTGTGTCAATTTTTCTTCTTGAAAAACCTTTTTCTAAAAGAAATTTGCTTAATCTTTCATACCAAACTCTTGGAGCTTGTTTCAAACCATATAAAGCCTTTTTAAGTTTAAAAACATGGTTAGGTAAATCTTGATCTTCAAAACCGGGAGGTTGATCAACATATACTTCTTCTTGAATATATCCATTTAGAAATGCACTTTTAACATCCATTTGAAAAAGTTTGAAATCCATTATACATGCAAATGCAACTAATAATCCAATAGCTTCTAATCTAGCAACGGGAGCATAAGTTTTATCATAATCAATACCTTCTTCTTGATTATATCCTTTGGCAACAAGTCTAGCTTTATTTCTCGTTATTATGCCATTTTCATCAGGTTTATTCCTAAAGACCCATTTGGTTCCAATTATTAGATAACCATTTGGTTTTTGCACAAATTCCCAAAATTGATTTCTTTCAAATTGATTTAGTTCTTCTTGCATTGCCAAGAACCAATGTTCATCAATAATTGCTTCATTTATGGTCTTAGGCTCAATTTGAAAGACAAAAGCTAAATGATTATAAATATTTCTTATTGAGTTTCTTGTAGTTACCCCTTTGGATATATCACCAATTACCACATCAATGAGATGTCCTCTAGCTAGTCTCCAATCTTGTGGTAGATTGTTTCCATCATTTGTTTGTTGCCTTGATATTTCTTCATTGCTTGCTTCCTTTTCATTTTGCCTTTCATCTTTCTCTTTGCCATCCAAGTTTATATTTTCCATGCTTTCTATAAGATCATCATGACAAAGTTCCTTTCAAGGCAAGGCATTGTTAGTCTCATTAAATACAACATGAATAGACTTTTCAATGACCATTGTTCTCTTATTATAGACTCTATAAGCTCTACTTGTAAGTGAATAGCCTAGAAATATGTCTTCATCGGCTTTAGAGACAAATTTGCCAAGGTTTACTTTTTCATTGTTTAAAACAAAATATTTGCAACCAAAGACATGAAAATATGAAATATTGAGTTTTCTTCAAAATAGGTCTAATTAAAGCACAGTTCATAACATAACAAGCGGTGCTAACGGCTTCCGTCCAAAAATATTTTGGAAGATCATTTTCATTTTATCATGGTTCTAGCAAATTTTTCAAATACACGATTTTTTCCTTTCTACAACTCCATTTTGTTGTGGAGCCCTAGGAGCGAAAAAATTATGTTCAATACCATTTTCTTCACAAAAGGTTTCAAAATCTTGATTTTCAAATTCTCCACCATGATCGGTTCTAATTGAAAAAATATTTGAAGATTGTTCATTTTCAATAAACTTGGCTAATCTCTTGAATGATTTAAAAGCATTTGCTTTTATAAGTAAGAAATATAGTCCAAGCATAGCGAGAATAATCATCCACAATGACTAATGTATAGTAATTGCCACCAAAGCTCATTATTCTAGTTGGTCCAAAAAGATCCATATAACACCTCACATTTCTAAATTTTATATTAATATATTAAACATGGATTAAAGGGAAGGATTAGTGAAAATCCTGAGAATTAGGTCAAAATACAAAGGAAGGGTAAAACGGTAATTAGCCAAACATGCAACCCTACGAAGGTAAAATTGAGTAGGAAGTCTCAAATGATAAAAATAACCCTGGAAATAGATTCAGAACAAAAAATTGAGTGGTTAGGCAAGTTTCAGAAAATTCAGTGAATAATATTTTTCCCGGGTAAAAATACCGCGGTACAGTTGCACCGTAAAGTGTGCCGATTGAATTTTGAGCTCTAGGTTTTGAATACAAGTTATAAATGATATGTAGGACTAGGAAATATGATTTCTGATGAAAATTGATGGAAATTAGTAAGTTTGGGGAAGCGTGCCTATGACGCGCGTAACAGCTTAAAACTGCAATTTCTCTGAACGACCGGAAAACTCCGGATTCATCTGATCAAGGGTAATTAAAGGACAATGGTTAATGTTAAAAATTAGAGTTTCTAAATAGGTTATGAAATTATTGACAGCGGAATAGGCGAGAGATTTGAATTAGTTTGAAATCGCGTGAGGTGACGGTGAGACCCACCTCACTTAAGTCACTTAAGACACATGTGCACAAGACTATTCATCATCACTTTCCCTTCCCTTTCTCTCTCCAAACCCGAGTCCCCCCCTCCATGGCTTAAATTCCTTTAAAATTTCTTTCTCCTCTAACTCACTCAATACTCAACCAAATCAAGTGAAGTTTGTCTTGAAACTTGTTGGAAATCACTTCCCAAACACAATGGTAGTAGCCTTGAGCCATGAAACTCCGTAGAGTTTGAGAAAATCCCCCCGGAAACCCGCGAGCGACCATTGTGTGTAGATTTGCACTCATGGAGTTGTTTGGTTCTCCAATGGTTTAGTATGATGTGGAGGAGTCCTAGGCTAAGCTATTGAGTAAGTTTCATCACATTTTGTTGGTTGGATTGGTTGATTTAATTCATGAGCCCTAGACTTTAATTGTATGATTGATGTTGTTAGAGAGCTCAAATGGAAATTGTGTATTAGATAAATATGTCTTAGAATGATGTGTTGGAGCCATAAATGCAATGAAAGTTATTGGTGAAATTTGATGATAACTTAGTGGAAATTTTGTGTGATGCCATGACTTTGTGATGTTGGTTGATTTTAGGATTGTGTAATTGAGTTGTTGTACAGTTGTATGAGTTAATAATAGGATTGTATGGGTGTGGAGTAGTTGAATTGAATAGAAAAACCCTTGGTGTGTGGCTTGGTGCATTTCGGCCAAGAGAGGGAAGATGGGAATTGGAGGTTGTGAAATTGTGTAATTGATATGTTGTGTTGTTAATTGATAATTAGAAGGGTTGTGTGATGGTTGGATGCTTTGAAAATCAAAGGAAAAAGTGGTAGGTTGTGTGGAATTGGTCATTGGACATAGAGTGAAATTAATGAAAAAATGAGGTTGTGATAATGTAGAATGCAATTTGGCACCTAAAATGACATTGTGGTAGCCATAAGATGCTTAAGAAAAATGAAAAGAAAATTAAGAAAAATAATTTGTGTTTTAACACATGAATGGCCGAACCTCACTTGGTGGGGGGAGGAAAAATTGACGATTTGTGAATTTGATGGTTTATCGTGTCCTAATGATCCGTATATGATCAATGTAGGTTGCCTTACGCGGATTTGAACCCTGAATCATGAGCTCAGTTGGTTGCCCTTGGTCACGAACCAAAAGGGATTGTGGTAAGTATTTTGGAACCATGTATATGTACTTGTAAATTTGCATGTGTTGAGTGAATGGAAATTAATTGGGAATGTCCTCTGTGTAGGCATTTCTGTTTGTGTACCTAGCTCGGGGAAGTGTTACATTGGAGCTACGAGAAGAAAATTAGTAAGGTAATCCTTTGGTACTGGAGTTTGATCCCCTTATGTGTTCCATCATGTCCGTTGAGGGTAATGGTAGGAAGTGTATGTAAATAATATAGGATAACATGTTCATGCATATTGTATGTGTGGTGGTACATAGGATGTACCGTGTCTATGGCCAGTAGACTGTTTGCCTTCGGGTGTTACGAACTTCCACTAGATAGGTCTCCGTGAGGGAGTTCCAGTTGACCTCGGGTCGTGGTGTGTGATCCGGATAGGAGCACACTAGGAAGTCTCGGGTGTATATGGATGGAGGGTTCCTTGGTTGATGTTCTGGGAACACGCCTTGGTTTGAAACCCGTAGGCTTATATGCCGAGCCAATAGGCTGGACGTTGCGTGGTTTTGGCATTGACCATTCCAGCTTCGTCGTCTTTTGTATCCCTATGCTCCCCTATTTCACTAAATCCCTTACTTTATCCCGTTTTCAGATGTTATGTTGTATTATTTATATGCATCGAAGTGAGCCATTGGGCCGAGTATTCTCCAAAACCTCTGGGTTACTTAGATATATTCGTATATCTCACCCCTCTTTTGGGACTTTATTTCAGGAGATAGCAGTGGTGTCGGGGCGGCG